TTGATTTATGTGATTTTAAACTGAAAGTGATCGCTGGACTCTCCCCTAAAGAGCAAATATTTGTCACTTTAGTACGGTTAAGACAAAATATAAAGACAAAGTATTTGGCAGATCAAATAGGAATTGCTGTGAGTTCTATTAATAAGGTATTTTGGACTGTGATGCATATATTGTATGACACGATTGGTTTTTTGGTGTCTTGGCCCGACAGGGAGGTGATTCATAAGGCCATCCCTAAGATTTTTCGGACTCACTTTCCAAGGATGACATCGATAATTGACTGTACAGAGATTTTCATTGACAGGCCTGTCAAATTAAAAGCACGAGCTGAGGTGTACTCCAATTACAAAAAACATAGCACTGTCAAATTCTTAATTGCTTGTAACCCATATGGTGCTATAACTTTTCTTTCTCCAATTTGGGGTGGTAGAGCTAGTGATATTGAAATAGTCCGTAAGTCCGGTTTTATTTCTCCTAACTACCACTTCCCAGGTGACCAGATACTTGCCGATAGAGGTTTCACACTTAAGGAAGAATTCGCGCTCGTATGTGGTGCCGAGCTTCTGGTGCCTAGCTTCACAAAGGGGAAGCCACAACTGGCAGCAAAAGATGTTGAGCTGTCTCGGAGAAATTCAGCTGTGAGGATTGAAATCGAAAGGGTTATAGGTTTATTGAAAAACCGGTACACTATTCTCAAAGGTATTATGCCTATCAATCTAATAAAGTCAAAGAGTGATGAGAGTAACCAACATTGTGTAACTGGCATTGACATTATTGTGAGAGTTTGTGCTGCTTTGATAAATATGAATACAGGCATTTTCAGAAAAGACGAAGAAAAAACTGTAACTTGCCCAGCAGGATTGTAAATTCAATTCAATGTCCATGATTGTAAATGTGATATCCTGAGATATGCACTGTGTTGTAACCGTCTAAAGTTTAGACGGTATATTAGATTTGGACTTGTGGTTCACTGATTTCAAACCCATAATGTGATATTGCAGAATTTGAGACTATATGCATAAATTAGATATTCTTAATGAACTTATTTTACAAATACTTTTATTACATTTCAATTTAGTGTGAATGGAATAAAGCTTTTATATAAATCATATTCATTTGTTCATTTCATGGTAGAGCAAGCATTATACAATGAGGCTGAATCTGAAGGACTCGTCATCTTGTATTACCTTTTGTAAGATATGTCCCTCATTTCTTTGATCTTTTACAATATTTACACAGCCATGTACCCTTTGGAGTGGTTTTCCTCTTCAGACAATCCAAATGAAACCATTTATATTTACAAGTTGGGTTATCGCAACCGATCATAGTATGATTCCCAGTATCTGGCATTTGGCATATACAAAACAAAGGTTCATCAGACTCGACAGTACTAGTGACACTTTCATCAGCTGCTTCAAGTTTTCTGGTGACAAGCTCAGGGATGATGTGTTTAGAAAAGAATGCCATACAACAATCTACCATAGATGACACAAATACATCATCCCTCTCGACTGTAATAATAAACATTTGAGTTGGCACCCATACAACAAAGTGGCATAACACACAGTCTAGAATATACATCTGCATTTGTACTTGACTGTAATACCTGTGGTTCTTTTTGAGACAGAGAGAATTATCTAGACAAAATTCTTTATCACTTAGCATATCTTGTAATGATGATGATCTGTGCTTAAAAGGACATTTAACCTCAACACAAATTGTACCATGGCATTTACAACTGACAATTGAATCTGGAGAGGCACCAAGAAATGGATGAGACATATCCAAGAGAAGCCCGGATTTGGCTATGGTGAAACACTCATGCTGCTGATCAACAGTGTTCTTATACAAGTCCAATGCTTCATTTTCATGCTGAATACCCCAGTCTGTGGCTTGACTTTTGAACGTTTTGGGGCAACACAATTCTTGATGAGTGACTGTGCTGGTGTGTCAAGGCTAGTGTGAAGGATGTCGTGAACAGATGAGGCCGTCACTCTGCCAAGCCTCATCTGATGCCAGGTCATTGATGACGACTGCCTCTCCGTACATTTGTTCACAAAGGAAACATCGTCTTTAGATAGAGGTGTAATACTGTCATTTTTTTCCTTGAACAAGTGTTCCAACTCTTCCTCTGACAAGGATTTAGATTCAGGCACATACATCTCCCTAAGACACATAGGGAGTTTTGGTTTAGATGCTGTTCCTTGTGTTATGAAGGGCTGGCAGGTTTCTTCAAACAGGCTCAGACCTACAGCTTTTGGACAGGCCAGCGATAGAGCTCGCAACACCTTTCCTTTATCTTCACGAGATGGTGAGCAGTCCAGCTTTCTCTTTCTAACTTCGGAGTTAGAAGTTGTAGGAGTAGGAGTTGTAGTCTTTTTATAAAACTGAATTTCTGATACCATTTTTGGTACTACTGACTTGACAAAGTCGTTGTTCCAGGCACAGGGTTTCGATGTGCATGGCAGCTTTGTGTAACCCAAACGAACCGCAGCTTCTATCTTGAACATCAAAGCACCAACGTGAGAACAACTTTCCCCTAATCTGTAAAGAAAATGAAAATTATTACAAAGCCTTCACTATAATAAAACAAACTTAGATTAGGCAAAGCGGCTGAAGTTACATATAAAAATGTACAGACAAACACATAACTACCAATGCATACTCCCACTCACATGATCTATAAATAAAATTCTATGATAAAAACACATGAATAAAGAGTTGGCTAGCTTACTCAGGGACGAAATATCTAAAAAGAAATAGATAGATGTTTCCATAACATAAGATACATGTAGGAACCTGAGTGGAAAGCCAGATTGCTATAGACAAAGTGTCATGGATTCAGAATTCACTGGAGCAGATAAAAGCACCACAGTTCGAGACTAGTATGCACAAAGTTATGTAGTTACCTGCCCATTATTGAGGACAATCTTTGAGTCCCCCACTTTCACCGCGGTAAAGTGGCCCCGCTTTTTGTCGGCAGCGGTAAAGAGGTCCGCACATTGAAAGTGGTTGGCCCCTTAATGCTGTTACTTACATCAATTTTTTTTTCTAAACAAAAAGAGTTTTGTGACTACTTTCACTGCACACTTGTTCACGCCCTCTACCACTGTGTAAAATAACACACTTTTACTGTAGAAATTCAGAGATAATTGGGCTCAGAGTGTGCATGTTTGGTCCCAAAAGCACTTTTTAAAAATCATTTTTTTTAAATCTAAAAAAGTTCCCTGACTACTTTCACTGCACACGTGTTCATTGTGATGCCCTCTACAATTTTTGGAAAGTGACATTCACTTATTCCACTTTCCAATTCCAAGAAAATGGGGGTCAAAGTGTGCAATATTAATGTTTTTTTATGAAGTGATTGCAAGGTTTTATTGTTAAATGATTTGTACATTTATTAAAGATTAACAAAAAATGTGTTCCCTACCAACTGTGATTGGATCAGTATGAATCTTTTATTTATATTTAAAGCAGGTGCCATTCTACCAAATTCATAAAGACTGTAGCCAGACGCTCAGTAAGATTTTCACCCCTTTTACCAAACCTGAATTTAACAATACAAACGGGGCATGGTCTCTATTTACTCTTTACCAAAGGTTTGTAGATAATTTTCCTTCCCATTTTAAGTGAAACAATAAAATGGAGTATATAATGTTTCAAGCTATGGTTTCAGACTCCGACCACAAACTAAACCATTATGTGCACTATCACACATATGTGAATACAACACAAAATATATAACTATTTGGCAGTATTGTAGCACTTTATTTAATTTCATAAATGCACTTAGCATGTCAAGAAACAAGATAAACAAACATATATAATGTTCGCTATCATTTCATTGTTTTTGACACATCTGAAAAAGCACCAGTTACACATGTCCTGCTGACAGAGCCTGACTTACGCCACATGCAGGAGGTAATAGTAACAATATTCCTCACCTAAAACACAGCACAATAAGCAGAGGTAGATGCAACAAAAGTGAAATGACAATGAAACAATATAAACATGTCATAAAAGAAATATAAGATTGTATTGTTGCTGCAGATAAAAAAATAAACATAATAGAAAAATACAGTTTAAGTACGTAAGACAGGTCTGTATGTATTATTATTTTTATAAGTTTGACTTTTCCTGGTAAAACAATGCATATTTGAATATAAATATTTAAACCATTGAAGACAGTTTATTTGAAAATATGTAAAAAATTACAGGAAGTAGAGCAGTGTTTTAGGATTGATGACATCACATTTAATGAGATTCACAATTCATTCTAAGACATATTTGAATCCTGAACTAAAGCTTGGCTTTTTAAGTGCAGATTCTGTCAACTTAAAGCTGGACTACCTCACTTTATTTTGTATTAGTTAGGAAAAATCAATCCATATCCATGCAGTGCATTGCGATAAATACGTCCTTTTGAGGAATAAGTAGCGCTGGTTTGTACTGGAGTGTAGTTTTATTTTAGATACAATTTTCGCGCAATGCGGAAGATAATTTATTTTGGGACCAGATTGAGACCAATCACAGCCGACCACTAGCACACAAGAGACCAGCTCCGTCAACAACAGCAGAAGAGGACGCGTTTGAGTGGGGGGGGGGTAGAGGGGGAAAGCTTCGTGGGGCACATTTGAAAATGCTGCTTCAAAGTCAAAAAGTGAGTTACTCCAGCTTTAATAAACATATCGTTCAATTAGTATATTAATTAATGCATCAAATAATTTCCATTAACATTACTGTGTAACATCCCTACCAAGATTTGATTAACCAGGAAGTAAAATGATTTAACAAAAGAATTAAGATTACTTACGTACTCAATAGGTACAGGCCAAATTAAAATCTTAAATATATTTCATGTTACACATGTTACTAAGTTAAAGTAAAGTCTCACCTGTCATACGCACTTTAAGATCTGTACGAAGGCTTACAATCCTCTTGTTCAAGAGAGTGTACTGCAAGTGCAAGGCGACTGGACTGGGGCCACCAGCTGAATAACTTTACAAAAAGTTGAGCTTATCTGAGGTGTAAACATCTTGAATAGATGAATCTGCGCTGAGTGGAGGAGCAGAGGGGAAAATGGATCCTTTCACCACAAACTTTGGCTCAAAGTCGGAATTAGTTCCTGATATGGGTCCTGGTTCTGCTGGAATTGTGGCCTACAGGTGCACCGATTAGGTTGGGGATATTATTTTATCGTAATAAATATCATGTTAAATGTATTTTGTGGATAGAGCATTACTGTCAGTGTCCGTACATACCTGAGTGAACTGTGGTGGGTCCATACTGGCAACGACATTAGTCTGTGAATCAAAACATGGAGAATAAAAGTAGGAAAAAACACAATACTAAACAAACTAAGTAAAACTCACAGTTGGATCAGCCATATAGCGTACTGGCTCTCTGGAGAGAAGAGGGATTGCAGGTGGAGCAGGTTGATTTGATTCCTTTAGAAAGAAGCAGATCACAAATAAAGGCCAAGGATTATTGAACAGAAAGCAACATGAAAACTTACATGATAGAACACAGCAGGTGCTGCTGTTGTAGAATCAGGGATGTTTCTTTGGTCTTTTTTACAGCAGCACTTTTTCACACAACAGCAACAAATTATAATTCCAAGGATGATAGCCACAGCAAAGACAACATATGCCCAAGTAGGGATTTCGACTGCAGGAATAACACACACAGCCCATTTTAGCCTTACATTCTGTAGCTTTCATTTGTTTAAAGTCTTTTCTTACCTTCCTTCACCTCTAACTGGACACGCACTGCAACGTTCCCTTCTATATCCACAAACTTGTATATGCCAGAATCACTTTTTACTACGTCAAATATGTTAAAGTATTTGTGATAAATATTCATTCTTTGATTCACATATCTTTCTTCAATCAAGAGCTCGTCAGTTGAATCGTCTGGCGTATATAGAATATGCTGGAATGAAAATCCAGGTGGAAATTGCTGGTTTACCTTGTCCCCCTCAGTGACTTCAAAGTAATGACGAACCTCTGGGGGAAAAAAACAGGTATTCACCATTTGCCTTTGTTTCTAAGCAAACATATGGTCTCACCTTGCACTTCCAATCTTCTCCACTTGAGTAGCTGATTCTGTGAATCTCTATATTTGTAGTAGCCATTGTTTGTCTGCTTGGCTTTTTTTATCTCAAAATAACCAGCTATGACTGACCCTCGAAGACTGGGGTCAGTGCGATTCCAAATCACTACAGGTTGAAGGGTTGACTCATAGGGCACGACCTGAGAGAACTGCAAGTACTCAGCAGAACGTGGGATCTTAAAAAAGACATCTTCTCCATAATAGGCTTTTTGAGGATCATTGCAATCTGAGAAAACAATAAATATACAAATACTGTACAACACTGATCATCAACTGGCGGCCCGCGGGCCCGAATCTGGCCCACTGAGTTGTTTGATCCGGCCCCACATCCTCCTGCAGCGTTCTGACCGGGGGCAGCTGCGGCCGCTATGTAATGACATCGGTTCCTGTATCCAGAGGCTGTGAGCTGCTTTGACTCGATTTCACAGTATCAATTGTTTCCTGTGTTGTTTCTTTCATTTCTGTACTCTTAACCTTGTTTTATTTATGTACTTGTCTTGTGCACACTGGGAACTTTGGCGGATTTATTCCAATGTGGTTGTAAATGGCAAATAAATTAATCTGAATTTTATTTAATATTCTTTGGGGGTCTGTACTGAACTTTATGGTCGTCACAAAAGTATTTATTATTAAGAATACAGTTTCCACTCACCATCGATTTTCAGTTGCATACTATTTTCTTGATCAAAAAACAGGATTGCTTGGTCGTCTTCGTCTGTCAGATCTTTGATGCTTATACCCGAGAGTGTAACATCAAACCGTTCGTGTTTTGACTAGTAAAATGCAAAGATACTTAAGATGTTTCTAACAGATTAAAGTAAATAGATTATATACAATTATAGTATCCTACCTTTCCTTTCTCAGCAACGAGTATCCGCTCATCTCTTGTTCGAGGCATATAAAATATGGAATTAGGCAATTGTGGTGGGCTGAATGAATAAGTGGTGCCATAGCACCTGGTAGGAGTCTCATATGAGGAACCTGAACATGGAAGAAATATAAATGCTGAATGAATTCTGATGCACCAAATAAAACTTAAATGAAATATACTTGAGAGAACATATAGTAATTATTAAGTTAGTATACAACAAAAAATTCTTAATATAAATTCTAAAATAAATGTTAATCTAACTAACATTTAATATTCATAATAATGCATCGGTTTTATATAGCACTTTTTTGGACACTCAAAGGCGCTTTACATGTCATTATTCTTTCACTCCATACAGAGTGGTGATAAACTACTACTGTAGCCACAGCTGCCCTGGGGCACACTGACAGAAGCGAGGCAACCAGTATGTGCCATCAGGCCCTCCAACCACCACCAACCTTTTACACACACAATAGACTCATTCTAGGCAATGTGGGTGAAGTGTCTTGCCTAAGGACACAACGGCAGTTTGGCACTTTACAGCCGCCCCACTGTGGCTGGGGTTCCCAGAGGTTAAGTGTCTTGCCAAGGACACAACGACAGCAGACAGTGGGAGTCGATGGTGAAAGTCTTGAGGTGGGCTCAAAACCCATGACCTTCTGGCTCAAAGGCCAATGCTATACCAACTGAGCTACTGTCTAATCTCACTTTTGAGTCACTATATATCTTTTCATGAATGCAGGGATAATTTACCATATTGTACCATTGTATGATGGTATATTAGGCATGTGTGTTCTCCATGATTGGCTGTGGTTGTTGTAAAATTGTATTACCACTGAAAGGAGTATCTCTCATTTCTATTTTACAAAACTCCCCAGTCGAAAAGGCTGGAAACCTAATAGATCCATGCTGGAAACCCATGCCATAGGCTGTGCATGGATACTTTACATGGCCCCTCCCATGTCTAATAGGTCTCTAAAAAAAATATTATTAGCAAAGACATGAAGGAATAGAGAATACTTGTTGTAGTCTATTACGTGTTACTTACTGAAATCCACAAGGGTAAACATGAGCATTTGAAGCAGCAACATGTCCTTCAACGCTTTGAGAGTTTTACAATCATACAAACGTCTCGCAAAAAAGAAAGGGTACAAAACCAATACTAATTCGATCTCGCCAATGCGTTACACATGTCTTCAAAAAATGAGTCATGGTATGATATGTGTATTTTTTGCCCTTATGGTAAATTCTGGGACAATGTTTACCACAGTCAAGGGTCCACAATTTTTTCCTGTTTCTTAAGATGCATCCAATGCATTCGACTTGGATTAAATCATCAGGGCTTTTCAGGAAGTTATATAATTAGAGGGGTCCTGGCATACCTTATTAGGGTCCTCATTTTTTGGTACTCCAGCAGAGTATGATGGTTGAGGTGAAGGTGGGGTGGGTCAGTGTCAGGACTCATTCATGGTCATGTAATGGTGTCCGGAAGGGTAGTGTGATGTCCCCCCCTGCTTGTTTAACTCTATATGGACGATTTTAGTGTACAGCTCATCACTGTTAAGACTGGGTGTGTTGTGGGAGGCAGAGTGATAACCACCTCATGTATGCCGAGACCTGGTCTGTGCTCAGTCCGTACAGTGGCCAGGACCTTCAAGAAGCTCCTCACATATGCTTGGCTGTGTTTACGTCTTCATAATGTTTATAAAATAAAACTACTAGTAAAAAGCTTCATCATGATTGTGAGGACAAAAAATGGACAATATTAATCTGTATTTCCTGCTTTCGCCCCTTTGTGGTAATAATGCTCTATATGTCAGTGGGAGTTAAGTACCTTGGCCATTACATATGCAGTGACCTCACAGTCGACACCGGGTTATACACAGACTGAGATTGTAAATGTATGCCAATTCCCAACATGCTGATGTCAGAAAGTGTAAAATGTGCCTGTGATTGTTTAAAACGCTCCCTGTTCCATCTTTGTGATGCTCCATTTTACAACAGCCCAACTATGGCGGAGCTATATGAAGGGCAAGTTTGACAGAGATAGTTAAAATGTTTGCATATAATGACTCGATGTGGATAGCTGTTGATTATACCCAGACACAGTAGTGCGAGTCAGTGTTTGCTGAGTGCAGGGTGCGATCACCTTTAATGCTGCCCTACGTCACTGCTACTATCAGGTTCATGTTGGTAGTGTGGTCGAGGGTGGCCTAATGCTATTGTAACAGTCAATGGTTTGTCAATTACATTTAGATCTGTCAGGTTCTCTTCCTTTGATCGGAGTCAATGGCGTGCTTCTCTGTATGTGTGACTTGGTCTAAATATGTGAATATGTGTTATATGTTGGGTTTTAAATCTGTTCTGTGATTTTTAAAACTTTTCTGTTAATTTATTCTTAGTATGGATCTGTGCTTGCAATGTGAAGTCCTTATTTAAAGTATAAATTAATTAAATAATTGTCACAATTTCAATTTCTAGGAATAATACCATTGTCCAATTATCTGTAAAAGGTCCATTTACATTCTTCATTTAAACTTACAGCCACAAATAGTATGACAGAAATTTACCCCTTTAAAACGCAGAGTGAGAAATGTTATAGCACTTCATTGTGATTATGTCATTTATTTGGCTCACAACTAAAGAAAAAACACACACAAATAAAACTTTCAGAAAATAAACTGAAAAGGGACTGTGAGCCTGCTCTGTACATTTCAAAATGCAGCAAAGCTCGAGTCCTGACTAGATCCAGGAAGTAACGGTACATCTTTAGTCGGTCCTCAGGTCTCCTGCACTGGCTTCCTGTGGCTCAAGTGAATTGACTTTTTAAACAGCTTTGCTTGTGTAAAGTTCTCTCCTTGGCCTCGCACCCAAAATATATTCGTGGACATGTGACTTGTTTTGTTTGTTTTATTTCATGTACTTTTAATATTGTTCTTTTTTGCTGTAATTGTTCTGGTGCACAATGAGGACTTTTGCCAATAAGTTTCAAATGAGTTTTACTGCAATTTGCATTAAAAATGAATCTTAATTTAATCCGAACATGTTGGTGCCGTTTGAAACCAACTCAGACTCGAGGAGCACAGGGGCGGATCTGCATACTGCTGGAGACTCTGTGGAAGAAAGGGACTAGCTACTGCTTATGACCAGAGTCAGACTATATATGGTAGAAAACATTTCTGACTCATCAAGGTGAAATCTGGAACAGTCTTCCTGTAAACGGTGTGTGGACAGAATTATACTCTGTCCATGTTCAAAAGCAGGTTAAAATCTCATTCTATTTGCTGTTTTTGTGCCTGACAACTGAATGCACTTTTATGTACTTTTGATTTTTATTGTTTCTAATTGACCATATGTAGGAATGAATTTTCTTTGTTGTCCTGCTATTGTTGGCAGTCATTGAATATTTTCACTTGTGTTTGAGCCCATTATGTGAAGCAAGCAATACGAGATTTGTAACATGATTTGATCTTCTTGTTACGTATACACTTTGAGAATTGAAGCTCTCTTCGCGAAAGTTCAATGTGGTAGACACTGGCCTCTGCTGCCCAGATCTACATGCCTGCTCATCCTTACTTCATTACACCAAGCAAAAGCCACCACATTCTAGTCCACCAATAAACCAGGACAGCAAGTTAAACGCCGGAGGAATGAAGCCATCTTTCCAGGCACTTCTGAAGTTTGCAAACTTCTGAAGCTCGCATGGTGCATGTCGTAAAACGAACCTGTTCGCAAGATGCATGCAGTTGTTATGGAGGGTCGCTTCTTGATCTCGTAGTTTGCTCGTGCGAGTGGCAATGCTGTCCTCAGGTCTGGCTGCTCGTGGTCTCTGCTCTCCTCATCTGCGGGATCTTCTCTGCGGGCTGCTCCAGCGGGGCTCTCCGCGGGTTCTGTGATGATCGTTCCTCGTGGTCTGCTGGTGCCTGCGTTTTGTTACTTTTGGCTCCGATTGGCGGTGGTTTTGCCGCGTTGTACCGTTGACTTTCACAAGTCTCCTGGCTGTGAAGTACAGTGTGTGTGCCGACCGCGGACAGATTTATCCGGAGGTCTAGGCTGCAGGCGACTGGTTTTTGCCCTTCGCAATTGACTGCAGGCGTCAGTTTTCGCCCCGTGCTTGGTTGCAGGCTCCGTTTTACACGTGTTGAGCTAACTGAGGGACAATGCATCTTAAATGGCATCAATCTCCAATGTCTGAGGGATATAAGAGGAGCAATGTGCATCAATTCAGATTCATGTTCTGCCACTTGCAGTAAAACCACGTTGGAAAAAATGTGCAAAGACTACCCATCGTGCTCCAGACGGCACACACCAGAACTCTTGCCACGGCGCCATTTTTTACAGCATTAATCTCATTACTCGCAGGTCACTATTGTTAAATGAATGTATTTAAATTCGTCTATCTGCAGGAGGAAGGAGGGGCCATGCATTTAAATAGCTAGGTCACTAGTATTAAATTGGGTAACTAAACTGCAGTTGTTGCATTTCGAAAGTGCAGCAGAAAGAAAAGGGGCCCAATGTGAATCTGCAATGGGTTTGAAGTGGAGTTGGAGCTATGAACGCATGGAAAAGTGATGGTTCATGCGTATCTGCCATAACCAAAGCAGCAAGATGGCTCCAGGGGACATCTGTTTTTCGCATGGGAATGTTTCGGATTCGGGTTGATTTATTTCCTCAGGCTCTTAAACAACCGTGGGCATGGTTCTCTGACCGCCGCTGCTGCGGTCCCTGCTGCCGTTCCTACTGATGCCTGATCCCGCTGATGCCTGTTCCCGCTGCTGCCTGTTCCTGCTGCCGCTCCTGCTGCCGCCTGTCCCTGCTGCCTGCTCCTGCTGCTCCTACTACTACATGTGCCGCTGCTGCTGTTCCTGCTGCCGCCTGTTCCTGCTGCCTGCTCCTGCTGCTCCTGCTACTACATGTGCCGCTGCTGCTGTTCCTGCCGCTGCTGCTCCGCGGGCTCCCGGGCGGCACCTGTCTCTACGGCTTGGCTCTTTCAGACACGTATGTAACCTGGCTCACGGAGACAAGCGGCGCACGCTGGCGTGACACGTCTGTTGTTCGTATGAATCTCATTGTGGTGCTACTGCTCCTGCTAATGCTGCTTCTGCTGCTTCATACTGCTACCGCTATTGCTGCTACTGCTGCCGCTAATGCTGCTATTGCTGCTGCTTCATACTGCTACTGCTGCCGTGCTGCTGCTGCTTCTTTACTTTGACACCTCTCTTCACTTCGCATCTTTTACTGAAACACTAAACAGCTTCAACAATATTCTACTGCTGTGGCTTTGATACAGGATTATTGCTGTTATTGTCTACGGATGCTGCAACCGCTGCTGCTGCCTCATACTGCTGCTACTGCTGCTGCTTCATACTGCTACTGCTGCTGCTGCTTCATACTGCTACCGTTACTGCTGCTACTGCTGCCGCTGCTGCTTCATACTGCTACTGCTGCCGTGCTGCTGCTGCTTCATGTACTTTGACATCTCTCTTCCCTTCACATCTTTTACTGAAACGCTAAACAGCTACAATAATATTCTACTGCTCTGGCTTTGATACAGGATTATTGCTGTTATTATCTACGGATGCTGCAGCTGCTGCTGCCGCTACTGCTCCTGCTGCTTCATACTGCTACTGCGGCTGCTTCATACGGCTACTGCTGCTACTACTGCTGCTGCTGCTTCATTTACTTTGCCATCTCTCTTCACTTGCATCTCTTTTACTGAAACACTGAACAGCTACAACAACATTCTACTGCTGTGGCTTAGGTACAGAATTATTACTGTTATTTTCTAAGGACGCTGCTGCTACTGTCGCGGCTTAATACAGGACTATTGCCGTTATTATCTGAGGTTGCTGCTGCTACTGCTGCATCCCACTCTCTCAGAAGCTTATCCTGCTTCTAATGGACGCAGCCCGGCTGAGCATGCCGCGCTGCGCTGGCCTCGTACCTATGCTCCCAGGGTCGCTTCGGCGGTCATGCTTCATCTCTCTACTGAATCTTCTGATTCTATCAGATGCAGCTGGCCGAGTAGCTGCGCTGAGCCGTCAATCGGACTCCTAATCAAAGGCATCCATACCTGTATTCTTCGCTCTTCTGATCGCAGGCTCCCCATCATGCTGCCCATTCCTGCAGCGGCGCTGAACTCCGGCTCATCTCCCAAGTACATGTCCGCCCTCCTCGCAGCATCTTCCTGCTCTCCTTCTATGGCTTCTCTGCGTAAGCGTTTCACCATTGCTCACTCAACCTTCATGCGGTCCGAGACACGGCCTTCCCGACCTTCCTACTATCCTGATTTCTACTCTCCAACCCAAGGTTTCAAGCGTAAGGGCGCCTGCAACATCAATGGCCCTCTCCGACATGTCTCTGCCCCTACAGGTCTCCGCTTCTACACGGACGCTGCCCCTTCCGTGGGTTTTGGGGGATTCTTCCAGGACCATTGGGTTGCCGGGCCGTGGCCGCTACTTCCACCGGAGCATCTCCTCTGCCCTACACAAGATATTCCCAGTGGTCGTGGCCTGCGCGCTGTGGAATCACACGTGGCAGAGAAAGAGGATCTCTGTCACGTGTGATAATCTCGACGTAGTGGAAGCATTACACAAAGGTCGCTCTTTTTCACCCAACATAATGTCCCCTGACCATTTCAACCTCCGTCTCAAACATTCAAAAATCAAAGGAGCCTGCAATATAGTAATAGCTCGCTCGGACACATCTCTCTGCCCCTACAAATCCTTTATGCGTTACACTCGCCTCCGCTGCAAAAAGGAGATCTTAACGGACCTCTATTTCTCACTCCAGACATTCTTCCCATGACAGCAACCTGGTTCAGAGCTCAACTAAGATCCCTACTGCTCCTCTGTAATTTGTCTCCCCAGCTCTACACAGCTCACTCCTTCAGGATAGGCGCCGCCACGCGCGCGGCCTCGCTGGGGCTCCCCCACACCTCTCTGCAACAGCTGGGGCGCTGGTCCTCTTCGGCTTTCTCCACCTACATCAGGCCAGACGCGTCCGCTATCCTGGCTGCACAACGTCTACTGGCTTCCTCGTAAGCTCCCAGCAAAGCAATACAAAGCAAAGTAAGTGAACCAATAAGATTCTGGTGGCGGCACGCACTTCTTCAAAGATAACCCTGTTGCAGCGTCCGGTTGATCGTGATGCGAGCGCTCACGTCCCGGCGCTTAAAGACAACTCTGCTACAGCGTCTGGTATCGATCGTGATGCGAGCGCTCACGTCCCAGGCAGCGTCCGGTTGATCGTGATGCGAGCGCTCACGTCCCAGAAAGCGTCCGGTTGATCGTGATGCGAGCGTTCACGTCCCGGCGCTCAAAGATAACTCTGCTACAGCGTCTGGTATCGATTGTGATGCGAGCGCTCACGTCCCAGGCAGCGTCCGGTTGATCGTGATGCGAGCGCTCACGTCCCAGACAGCGTCCGGTTGATCGTGATGCGAGCGTTCACGTCCCGGCGCTCAAAGATAACTCTGCTACAGCGTCTGGTATCGATCGTGATGCAAGCGCTCACGTCCCAGGCAGCGTCCGGTTGATCGTGAAGCGAGCGCTCACGTCCCGGCGCGCAAAGATAACTCTGCCCGTTTTTGGGGATCATGCGCGCGAGCAAGCGCCGCACTCATCAGCATCTCTCCCGGGCCTAGGGCGCCAAACATACTCAATCAACAAACTTCTAACTGCATTTTCCCTCTTGGGTCTCTCCAAAGTGAATTACCTTGTGTATAAACTATGCTATAATAAACTTACCATAATCATCCGAGTTATATCAAACTTGGCATATGTCACTTTGCATGTAATAAGTCTACTCTTATATTGGTTTCACATTTACACACATTTTCACAATTACAGTTGAATTACAGAAATACACTTTTGAACCATATTCTAATATTCCTGTTTCACCTGTATATCCATGTCCGTGTTTTGAAATTGGGAAAAACTTGTTTTTAATATATTATAACATATTTATATTCATGCCGGGGCAGGTTGCACATTTTTAAGCCTGTGCGGACATACATCCGACAAAAACGATGCCAGTGTGTCCCATCTGTGGAGAGGATGCCTGTAATGATAACAATTCATCCCTTTGTCTGATGCCATCCTTTAGATTGCCTTTCTCCTCTCCACCTCTCCATCTATCAGCTCCGATCCCATTTTCATGACAAACAATACGACGCACACTCTCGCTCCATCACAGCCCTCTGTATCTGTCAGTGCAGAAGTGGAGGTGGTGGGGGAGTCGGGGGGAGTCAAAGCGGTGGTGGTAGTGGTGGGGGTGAAAGGAAATGAATAGAAAATAGTGTGAATATCTAGGGAGTTTGAAGGATTACCGCAAAGAGGTCTGAAGTGTCTGTGGAGTGTGGTTCGGTTATCTCCCAGCTGAACTCAAAAAATACACTTTATTCTATCACTTCTCACACATCTGCTCTTCTGCGGCCCATACACATTACACCTGCAGTTCATCGGGGAGAGGGAACAGTGGGGGAGTGTTTAATTGACTTCAAACCACAAGAGGAAAAAAACTTTTGTGTTTTCCTACTAGTGTTCCTCCGTCTCTTTACGGTATACAGTAGATATTACTCTTTGCGAAAGAATAGACTGTATCAAGAACATTATTTAATTATGTCTGTAAAAGTTTACATTCACAACAATTACAAGAAAAAAAAATCTTTTTTTTCTTTTTATTTATGCCATGGACCTGTGTGTTTTCATGTTCATTTGTTGTTGTTGTTGTTTTTGTTAATAAATACAAATGTCCTCATGCCTTCTTGTATGAACGATCACTTTTACACTCAGGTACAATGGAAAATGCAGATCAGATATTTTAGACATGAACAATGGTAGAGGAAATTAAATAGTTAATAATAATTATATAATAATAATAATAATCTTTATTTGTATAGCACTTTTAAAAACAATGTTTAAAAAGCGCTGCGCAGTCAGCATAATAAACAATAATAACATAATTCAAAGTCAAAATAATTAGATACATCAGATACAGGAAAACAAAGCAAACAGAGCAAAACACAAAAGAGACACAACAAGGACAAAGCAGACATTAAAATACAGCATGAGAAGTTTAAAACTAGCAGTTAAAAGCTGTTTTATAAAAGTGGGTTTTAAGAAGTGATTTAAAAGAGGATACTGATGGTGCTAGCCTTATCTCCTCGGGCAGGTCGTTCCAGAGCCGAGGAGCCCGGACAGAGAAGGCTCGTCACCTTTCGTCCGGAGCCTCGACGGACCTCGACGGATCCTCGGGACCTGCCCGAGGATCTAAGGCTGCGGAGGGGCTCGTAGGGGGTTAAAAGTTCAGAAATATAGCTTGGTGCCAGACCTAAACGAGTTTTAAAAGTAATCAGTAAAATCTTTAAATCAATTCTAAAACGCACAGGGAGCCAGTGGAGAGACGCTAAAACAGGGGTGATGTGCTCCTTTCTGTTAAAACCAGTGAGAAGTCTGGCTGCTGCGTTCTGAACAAGTTGGAGGCGGGAGAGGGATTTAGTGTCGAGACCGGAGAGGAGGGAGTTGCAGTAATCGAGGCGGGAGAAGATGAGGGCGTTAACTACTTTATGGAGATCGGGAGGAGTGAGAATGTTTTTAATCTTAGAGATGGTGTGGAGGTGATAGAAGCAGGATTGGGTGGTTTTTTTGATGTGGGAGTGGAAGGTGAGGTGAGAATCAAAAATGACACTGACGTTACGGGCAGAGGGAGTGATGTTTCAAGACAGGGGGCCAAGGTGGGTTTGGATGTGGGATATTGATGGAGGTGGGTTGATGAGGAGGACTTCAGATTTGGAGGTGTTGAGTTGAAGGAAGTTATGGGCCATCCAACGGTTCACATCATTAAAACAGTCGATCACAGCAGCCAGACTTCCAGGGTTGTTTGGTCTCAGCGGGAGGTATATCTGTGTGTTGTCCGCATAGCAGTGGAAGGACACGTTATGACGGGCCATAACGTGTCCTAGAGGGAGCATATAAATAGAAAATAAAATGGGACCTAAAATAGAACCATGCGGCACACCACAGGTAATGGGGGCTGTAGAGGAGGTAAAATTACCCATGGTGACCGCAAAGGTTCTGTCTAAAAGATAAGAATGAAACCAACCAAGTGCAGAATCACTGATGCCAACCCACGTTAATATAGAAATAAATTTAATTTATGTTTCTCATTCACAGACTATATAATGTAAGTGGAAAATCTCTGAGTGCTTTTGCTAAAAAACGGCCTGATCTCAAAATATGACATCCCTATGCACCTGTTAAATCCAGTCACAGTAGAATGTGAACTGGAGGTGAAGGCATGTGTCCATAAGAACTGCGGCAGCCATTGTCAGTCCTGGTATAATCCTGGTATAATCCTGGTTTAGCTCTTGTTTTGGCTTCTTGTTTTGTTTTCAAGTGTCCTCTTGCTACTGCTCTGACCGCATTACGTGACCAGCATCAATTTGCTGCTCTCTGATTGGTTGCCACATGCCAGTCCGGCCAAAAAGATGAGCCATGTTCAACTCCTGCAGCAAAGCAACACACCTGCACCACAACAACACACCTGCTGCACCAGTGAAAAGTGCGTGCCCCAAAGCACATACAATTATTTGCCCTGACGTACGGCACCATTGCCTTTGCATGTAAACCTGCCGTACAGCTTGGTCTGGTGGGAACAGGGCTCTACTCTCATACACTCAACTCACACTTTCATCTATTCCAAAAGTCCCATAAATTAATATTTCAATATTCTTATCAACATAGAAAAGTAGACATGCTTCCATTTTGAAATGTATTTTTTAATGCATTGTCTTAGTGTTCATGTCATCTCCTGTAGATATTTTTTTTGTCAGCTTGATGAGTGCGTGCGTGTGCCTCAGTGTGTGCGCAGTGACCTGCCTCTGTCTCTTGTTCATTGGCATCTGGCCTTTTGTAACAGTGCAAACATGCGCCGCTCAAAGCCAAGCATCAGGATTCCACGATTCCACTCAATAGTGTCTCCCTCTTTATCAGATGAAGAGGCCTGTGAGCATGAGAGCAGCGTGAGCGGGGGAGATTGGATGTGCTCAGAGTGTGCCTATTCCCACTAAGCAAGCCGACGTTGAATCAACGTAATTTGAACGTCGTTGTCCGACGTAGAATATAGGTCACTGGTGGGTGCAGAATGAAAGTTTTCTCGACGTCGTTTCCCGACGTCACCTCAACCTCCAAATGTTACGTTGATGGCACGTCAATTCAAGGCTTACCTTTTCTCTCCATCTTCTCCCTCTTCTCTGCTCTGTGCTGACGTTTTGGGAGCTCATGACCCGGCAAACAGGGACACAGACCGTCACACCGAACAGCAATAGTCTTCCCCGATAGACAGCTCTGGAACTCCAGCTTGCACTGTAAGATGTACAAGATTTCAGGATATTATCTGACTCAAACAAGAATGATATCAAATAGTTTTGCGCTGATATGTCAACTATTTGTTGTTTTTCGAGATACGCTTGAAAGAATCATTTGATCCTGCAAGAGACAAACTTGCCGTGTAAGCTTTGTATCTATGAAGAGTCCCTCTGAGAAATATAAAGTTGCAAATACACAAAGTAAAAGGCAGAGCAGATTCAATTCAATTCTGAAAGTGAACTAATAGCATCTTTTCACAAGGCATTGCCTCAATCTCTCCGTGGAGATTTTGGAGCTAAGACACATTTGCTTTAACAGCTTTAAAGATTTATCTTAAATGAACAGACGTGTCCATTAGGCAGTCACAAAGGGGCAGTATAAACACAGAGGACGCCGTGTGGATTTTTATTGTACACAACAGAACAAAGCTAATGGGACGAGAACAACAAGATGGACTCCTTCAGAGGGCAATTTAACAGTATAAATCTCATTCCAGGTAAGTGCAGGTGAAGGAAATGTTTGGACCAGTTGCAAAGAGAAAAAATCTAATTATAAAAAGCTTCCTGAAGGAATAATGGAGGCCGGAATGAGTTATGTAAATTGTGTTTTTGCAGATGATGACAATGGGCTTTGTCACCGTGAACCATGACTGTGCATAAAATGTTTACAAAGATACACCAAACAAATAAATGTCCTGGAATGCTGCTTTTATGCACCTAACATTTAGTTTCTCCACTTCTAATCCATCACCTCCTCCCTGCCACCTCTTTGATAGTGCCGCTAATGTTGCCCAATGAAATTTGTGGACAAAGAAACAGCACTGGGGTCTGTTGGGAGCGTTTTGAATTAGCTGTCTGGAGAGGCAGATAAAAAGTGAGAAGGCCTGGCAATGAATAACCTCCTCCAGCCACAGAAATCCTTACGTCAAGAGCCTGAGAGGAGAATGCAGGTGAGCTTATGTACAATGCATGACTTTATTTCCAAAAAAACATTTGAAAAAGCATGTCTATTTTTTATTAAAGCTAGGGTCTATATTCAAATCCATCTAAGTTGTTTCAAACAGACACATGCTCGGTTGGCCCCAATGGGCATTATGAACTTTGTATGTGAAAAAAGTAGGGCCTCTGTTTTTTTAAATATATATAATGATTTTTTTCTCTCAGTGAATCTTTTATTGCAGGAGGGGCCAGCTCTGCTCTGGGCTGTTCCCTGGACTCTGTGAAGGAGGTGAGGGACAGGTGTTAGTCAAAGTCACCTCCATCATGGACAACACCTCCCACCCACTGCACAGGACTGTAGAGGAGCTGACAGTAGAGCATGCTTCCCTTCAGTGGAAGCATGTTTGCACATATACATGTCTGTTTGCACGGCCTGAGTGATTCTATGCCAAATGTGACATTTACTCCATAGTGAGATCAATAAAGTTGATCTAATCTTAGCTTTATCTTGGAATTATTACAATATTTTGCCAAAACATGCAGCCCTAGTTCAAATTATTTCTATTTGGATCAAGACTACTTTTACAAAGTTCTGCATTTACAATGTAATAGTTTAGGAAATTCTAAGAATACAAGTTCTGCTCTTCTATTTAATGTTACGCCAAAAATTCCCTTTGCTTAAAAATCAATAGTTCAGTTTGGAGTTAAAATCTGAACTTTTCTGCAAGCGTTACAGAATAAGGTTTTGATTTCCTGTCAAAATTGGTTCCAAAAACTATAATTTTATAATATGTTAGGTCAAGACATTTGTAACCGTCTTGGAGGAGTAAAAACAGAGGAGTGGTTGGAGCCGATGAGAAAGGCAGAGGAGTAATGGCCTTTACTTAGTGGTCTGAAACCTCTCTGGAGATAATAGCAATGTCCTTTAATAGGATATGGTGTGTGTGTGTGTGTGTGTGTGTGTGTGTGTGTGGTGCAGAGGGAACCATGTAATGTTGTGATAAAACATGAATAAGCCTGACACCAGAGCATTACTAAGACTCAGAGTAGGACCACGGGGAGCCATCACTTCAGCGGCCGACTCGAGCTCTTCCAAATTACTACAGAGGGAGAGGGGAGTGTGCGCCCCTCCTCTCAAATGTCGTCTTTATTCTTTTATGATATTTCTGCTACTTTCACGCTCTGAAGCAGAGACAGCTCACAGTGAGATGGACTGTCGCTCAAGTGTCCAAATGCTGCTCCTACTACTACTCTACGTGTCAGGGCTGCACAACAGTGGACATACTGTAATAACAATATTGGACACGTCCATCACCCGTTTGTCTCAAGTCACTTTTCTTTCTAGGATTTGTTATTTATTCATTTGAAGGAGTTTTGTTACCAATGTTTATTTTTTAAATGTACGGATAGTGAGTTTACAGTACTTGCTGGACAAAGTTGCTACTTTCTCAAATTCGCGATGCGGCGAATGTGTGTATTTTGATCATGTTATTGCTCCCCTGGGGTACAGGAAGGGATCTGGACACAGTTCTATCAGACGTAGCAAACATCCTGCTTTCTGGTGTGTTTATGTGAACAGGGCGTGTTTATGGACGTATCATTCTCAAGTTTTAGAAGGGATGGGACACAACCTTATTGTCAATTTGATTGGATACAGTCATCTATCGTCTAATCGTTTTGCTGCATCAGCTTTTGGTAAAATGTTAAATCACAAAAGGAAATCATTCAGCTTATATTCAAGTGCAGCCTTTGTTTGGGAAATAATTACTCTGTCTAAATCTATAGCTCAATCTATAACACAGTTTAGTGCAAAAGTAATTAAGTGGTTAGCAATGTCATGTCATGTCACTGTTATGACCCCTTTATTTAAAACAATAAAGGGTGGTAATCAGAGCTGCCACCCAAGTCTCATAGCACCAGTCCCTCTATGATCTTCCTGCAGGTGGTGGGTCCACAGGAAGATGGCTTCTCCGTCAGCTACAAGATGGCCTTGGTCTTCCAGCGGGGTTTTCAGGCAATGTGGGGTTAAATGTCTTTCCCAGGGACACAACGACAGCAGACATCAGTGGGAGCAGGTGACATGTTTTGTGGTGGGCTCAAACCCATGACCATTAGGTCCAAAGACTCGCCCCACTAGTTAGCCATGTAGGTTCCAATATTCACAACTATGTTACTAATGTACATGTTAGCAGGTGACGGTGAAGTGACAGCGGACATATGTGGTCCCATATTGCACACTCTGTACTTTACACTGCACAGATGTACGCATATAATATTATATTTACTTACTGGACTTACTGAATATATAATATATTTTGATACATTTAGGATCACTTATACCACACCTTATGTGTAGAAGATTTGTGCTGTAATGTGCAGTTATTGTATCTATTTGGACATTGACAGAAAATGTGTTATTACGCCAGTACACTTTAAAACTTGTATGACCACCCCCCTTCTTAAACAAATACCAGCTTCCTTCATCAGCCAACTAGCTTGTGAAGTATTTATACAGTAAATACCGAAGTTTCTTTTTATTATTTTTCTATATGCAGCCCTAGTTCCTTATTGTGAGATTGAACTTGACTGATGTTTCATGGGCATAAGCTATTAGAAAAAACATGAATAAGAGGTTCTATTTCAGCAATTATGTTTTTTGAAGACATTATGATATTTCTTTTCACAAATTCACTTTGGAACCATGTTTGTCGGTTTAAATAACAGTAATTATGAAGCTTTTTGAGTCATACTGTGTTCAATTTGTGTGGGAGAACTGTGACAGCTGACTGTGTTGTTCAACACAAGAATACAACTGTAATCCTGCGCAAATGTTGAATGTGACAAGAAAACAAAAGGCTGAATTCATTAATGTCACCAGACGGTATTCTTACTTTGGAGGAGTAGGTGTGTCCGTCAGATCCACATACAGGAGTCGACTGCTGAGTTGAGCAAAGCCTACATTTCCCATGAGCACCGGCTTCTGCTCTGTGCTTGCGTCCTGAGCCACCTTTCCTTGTCTTTACACTGGAAAATATCACAAACGCATGAACACACACACACACACACACACACGTCATGTTTAACGTCAGGTTCAATTTCACTATATACTGTATTTAAAAAGTATGGCATTATATAATTTGTAAGTTGTCACTGGCAGAAAGCATTGAAAAGGTTTTCAGTGTGGAGATGTTCTGACCCAGATATCATTTTCAAATCAACAAATGAGATGGTTTGAGAGAGGCCAAAGAGACAAGGTTGAACTAAAGCTCACAACATTATAAATCCAAACCATCAAGAAATTGACAGGTCCATCCCACTAAACATCCGACGTCCACTCAACCTCCAGATCACGTCAATATCGCGTCGGTCGGTCGTGACCTTTTATTTACGTCCAAACGACGTCTGTGCAAGGTGCGCATCTGGACGTAAAACAATGACCTCCCATATACGTGGATATGACGTTCAATCCCGACCTCCCTTAGACGTCGAAAACAGGTCATCGGCCGACCGACGCAGTACGTCTTGATCTAGCAATACGTGTAAGTGTACCTGACGGTAGTGTAGTGGTTAAGCAAATGTGTGCAGTCTTGGTTACGCGGGTTCGAGCCCACGTGTGTGTATCATTATCTTTACATATTTGTTTTGATTTTTAACGAACAATGTTTTTCTGTTTGGTTAAAGACTAATAAACACTCAACATAGGATTACGTAGTGGCTAATAATAAAACTTGTGAATGTATGCATTTGTTGTGCTAACAATCTCAAGTTTGCAAATAAGGGGTGAGCACTTGAGATTTTATGCAAATGCATGGGTTCACAAGTTTTATTATTAGCCACTACATAATCTTATGTTGAGTGTTTATTCGTTTTTAACCAAACAGAAAAATTGTTCGCTAAAAAGTGAAAAGTCAAAACATTTACGACGGGGATTTGAACCCGCGTCGTTGCGACTGAAGTCTCTTTACTCAACCGCTACACCACGGCCAGGCATTTTTTTGTGACTACTGTGAAAAAATAATAGATAACACCCTAAACAACCGACGCACACTTATGCGAGGTTACAGCCTGATGGGCTAGACACACGGGAGGCGACATCGCATCGCCTCCATTCATTTCAATGGGACGTGCGCGACATAGCGTCAATCGCTAGCGAGCCTCCTGCTCAGCGACGGGCGAAAAACGTGCGTGTGAAATCCTCCCGCTCGTGCATGTATCGTGCACGCGCAGGTCAGCGACGCGATCCCAGAAAGTTGAAATCGGCTCAACTTTTCGACGCTGTCGTCAAGCCGCATCGCGCCCCGTCTGTCATGTTATCTGAGCGACAGCGTTGAGTTTCGCTGATCGCTCTCATTTGTCGCCTCCCGTGTGTCTAGCCCATGACACGTGAGTCGCTCGGTCGAGGACCTGTTTTCCACGTCTAAACGACGTAAGGTGTGCATCTGGACGTAAAGCAATGCCTTCCCAGACTTGTGACCTGGGGGTCACGAGTGATATCCCACTAGCGAAGTCCTAAGGGACGTAGCACCATGATGTAGAAGTTGTTTTCTCACGTATACGTGGATTTTGTTAAGTATATTTTGTATATTATCTGTATTTTGAATTGCCAGTGCATGAATCTATAATAATAACGGCTGGCACTGCTCAGCTGAAAGGGAGACACCTTTTTTTAGTTTTTAACTCATTCACTGCCCAATCACGACAAATCAGAATCAGAATCAGAATCATTTTTATTGCCACGTAAGTAACAGGAGGTCACAGACTAGGAAATTGCTTTGGCTCAGTGCAACAGTCAAAAAGAGATAATACAAATAAGAATAAAAAACACTTCTAAAGAATAAATTTAAATTTAAATTTAAAACTCGTCATGTTGAATAGTAACGCTCACTGCCCATGACGAGTTTGACGAGTTTTTCATGTTATTACACGGGAGGCTACAGTAATGTCTGGCGCACCTTGTGAATGACCCACAATACTGATATATAGTGCAAATGTACCTGTAATGATAAATCAACACCAGTAGGATGCAGTATTGCACCACAGGAGAGGTCATAAGTCAGTGGAGAGAAGGAGGAGGAGTGTGGGAGTGTTTGGAGAGCGTGCTGCTGTAGCATTGAGACGGATCAGTGATCTAGTTTAGCGATAGTATAGCAAGAGTGATGGCGAAAAAGAATAGTTATAAGCAGTTGACACTGCTTCAGAGATTGACTCGCGGATCAGTGAGTGAGGTCGAGAGGGGAGAGAGTGGAGACCCCGGTGGAGGTCCGTCTTGTTTCAGCTTGTTCTGTCTCCTGACTATACAAACTGGACGTTTGAGCATTACCCCTGCTCACAGGGAACTTTTATTACCAGCTAGTGCAGGGAACATACAGCAGCCACAATGCTCATTGTGTGTGTAACACTCTCAACTCCCCGGGTAGGAACAAAGGACATACATACAAGCAATTCTATTGCTACACGTCTCTGCAGCCACATTTGCGCGGAGCAAGAGCCCGGAGCAGAGACACACCTTCCGCCTCTCGCAGCGTATCAGCTGCTGCTGTTACTGATGCCTCGGATTCGTTCAGAGAACCTGATCATGATTTATCGGATGAGTGGTTGCAGTCTCAATCCAGCAGAGCATCCTCTCCAGAAGCTCCACAAAGAGTCGAAGGTAAGAACTTGCTAAATTGCCAAGAATATGCTAACTTGAGAGGAGGGAAAGGCGCGGAAACTTGCTCTGATCTGCTAAGTAACACAACGCTCAAATCCTACTGTTTCTTTAGTAAATGCCAGTTATGTGTTTTATCATTGTTGTATTTATTATTTTTATGTTTCGTTATTTCATACTTGAACATCTTGTTGTAGTGTCATAGCTCTGACTAAATGAAATGTGTTCATTCACAGATTCTGATAAAAGAGCCCTCCCCATTGGAGTTGACAGAGCATGGAGCAGAGGTAAAGATAATTCCTCCTCATACCATTGTACAGTACATATTATTGTATATATTCTCCTGGTATAGTGATTTACAAATGTATATTATTTACAGGTGGTGCATCGAGAGGCAGTTGCTGTGCACAAAAAAGGTAAAAGGACTATTTCTATTCTTGTACATCCCATGGCAATATAATATAATAATAATAATAATATAGTATACTTGTTTCGTCCAAAAGCAGTCAGTCACTAATGTGGGAGGAAGGCCTTCATTGTATTTTATGTGTTGATTTATTGTAACAAATTCACTGTATAATATAGTTATTGTGTGTATCAAATTTCCAGCACGTTCGTCACCCAGAAGCTCTGGGGAAGATGGCTGACAGGAGGATGAGTGGGAGCCGAGTCAGTTGCCCTTCACAGGAGCTCCTGGACCTCAGAGACTGCGGACAGAGGCTGCGAAGCTGGATTCATCTGATCCAGCTGACTTTCTGGAGCTGGATTCATCTGATCCAGCTGACTTTCTGGAGCTGGATTCATCTGATCCAAACTTTCTGGAGCTGGATTCATCTGATCCAGACTTTCTGGAGCTGGATTCATCTGATCCAGACTTTCTGGAGCTGGATTCATCTGATCCAGACTTTCTGGAGCTCTTCTTCACGGAGGGAGAACTACAAATGGTACACAGCGTGTCGTGTTCCGTTGCACACAGTGTTTCAACCTCTACAACTCAAAGCTGAACTACTGGGATGACTGAAAAAGCAGATGAACTCACTCATACACACACTCACGAACACTCACACGCACACAGACACTCACTCACTCACACAGACACTCACTCACACAGACACTCACTCACTCACACAGACACTCGCACACAGACACTCACTCGCACAGACACTCACTCGCACAGACACTCACTCGCACACTGACATTCACACACACAGACACTCACACACACAGACACTCACTCACACAGACACTCACTCGCACACTGACATTCACACACACAGACACTCACACACACAGACACTCACTCACACAGACACTCACTCGCACACTGACATTCACACACACAGACACTCACTCACACAGACACTCACTCGCACACTGACATTCACACACACAGACACTCACTCACACAGACACTCACTCGCACACTGACATTCACACACATAGACACTCGCACACTGACATTCACACACACAGACACTCACACACACAGACACTCACACACACAGACACTCACACACACAGACACTCACACACACAGACACTCACACACACAGACACTCACTCACACAGACACTCGCACACACAGACACTCACTCACACAGACACTCACTCGCACACTGACATTCACACACACAGACACTCACTCACACACTCACTCACACACACAGACACTCGCACACAGACACTCACTCGCACAGACACTCACTCGCACAGACACTCACTCGCACACTGACATTCACACACACAGACACTCACACACACAGACACTCACTCACACAGACACTCACTCGCACACTGACATTCACACACACAGACACTCGCACACTGACATTCACACACACAGACACTCACTCACTCACACAGACACTCACTCGCACACTGACATTACACACACTGACATTCACTCACACAGACACTCGCACACTGACATTCACACACACAGACACTCACACACACAGACACTCACTCACACAGACACTCACTCGCACACTGACATTCACACACACAGACACTCACACACACAGACACTCACACACACAGACACTCGCACACTGACATTCACACACACAGACACTCACACACACAGACACTCACTCGCACACTGACATTCACACACACAGACACTCACTCACACAGACACTCACTCGCACACTGACATTCACACACATAGACACTCGCACACTGACATTCACACACATAGACACTCGCACACTGACATTCACACACACAGACACTCACACACACAGACACTCACACACACAGACACTCGCACACTGACATTCACACACACAGACACTCACACTCACACACACAGACACTCACTCACACAGACACTCGCACACTGACATTCACACACACAGAAACTCACACACACAGACACTCACACACACAGACACTCACACACACAGACACTCACACACACAGACACTCACTCACACAGACACTCACTCGCACACTGACATTCACACACACAGACACTCGCACACTGACATTCACACACACAGACACTCGCACACTGACATTCACACACACAGACACTCGCACACTGACATTCACACACACAGACACTCACTCGCACACTGACATTCACACACACAGACACTCACTCACACAGACACTCACTCACACA